TATTATATATATATATATATATATATATATATATAAAATTAGATATAATTATACATTTTTAAATATAATTAGATCAAGTTTTTAATGGGTTCATTTTTGTGATAAATGTGAAAAAGTAATATATTTTTATAAGTATATTTATTTATAATATTTGTATTTATATGAACAATCTCATATATAAAATATTAAGTTTTTCATAAAATAAACGAAATAAACCAGTGTAATTATATTAAATCTAAAATTTTCCTTAAGGATCCTTTATCTTTTATATTTGATTGAAATTATGTGTTCATAAATTATGTATATTCGTATATATGTATATATGTATAAATTGTACAATATCAACTAAACTCGTAATATCGGAAATGTCTCTCATTTAGATGTATTATTTATATCTAATTTGATGCATTATAATATATCAGGTATAAATTTTTATATAATTTAATGTATATCTTTCTATTTGAAAAAGAAATATAGTTTTGTATAATTCAATTTAAAGTTGTAAACATTTTGATATAATCATTTCTAATTAGATATAACTAAACTTTTTCTTCGAAAAAAATTTCAATATAATTTTATGTAATTGTACATAGAATTATTAATATTTTAATATAATTACATATAATTAGATATAAATTTTTTACCCGAAAAAAATTTTAATATAATTTTATATAATTTGATATGGAGTTATAAATATTTTGATAATTGCATATAATTTGTAATATTAATAGATTTCATTATATATAATTATATATAATTATATCTAATATGATTAGATATAAACTTTTTTTCCCGGATAGTTATATGTATATATAGTTAGATATATAGTTAATATTAAAGAACAAAGAAATCAATATAAGATATATAAAGGAAAAAAGTCTCAATAAATGGTAGAAGAAAATTGTGTAAAGTGTAAACGAATAATTAATTTCTTATTTCTTTACTACGAATTCTGCTGACGGAATTTCTACTTTGTCACGGTCTGTAATGTTATGCCTTCTTCGAAGGATCTTTGTTCCATCTTATGCCATTATTTCATCAAGCACTCCTCTTCCTCCTTTTGTAATATTCCATCAGGAAAATAGAATGATATCTAGAAAACGACGAGGTAAATTTTAGGCTACAAGAAGAGCCAATATATTAGGTGTACAAAAAAGTTTTGAGCTTTAGATTTCATACAACCAAAATAATAATTTAAATTTTATATATCTTCCCGTCCTTTTGCGGTTTTAAAGTGTTGACATTTGGCCTTCTAAAATGCCATACGGTTTAGCGTTTGATGCACATAACCTCAAAAATCAGTAGTGTTTACGATGGCAATAACAAAAGAGCATATTCGATTTTCCATTCACTTCGCGTTTCATCTGAAGAAAAATGGTGCTGAAGTCACTGCAATGATTTGTGTTGCATATGGAGAGAACGCTGTAAGTCATACTACATGTAAAAGATGGTATCAAAAATTTCACCAAGGAGATTTCAGTCTTGAAAATGAACCGCGTGCTGGACGCTCTCAAAAGATTGAAACGGACGAATTGCAAGCACTGCTGGATATAAACTCTGCGCAAACTGAAAAGGCGCTTGCAGAACAGCTTGGCGTTACGCAGCAAACCATTTTCGTACGTTTACATACGATGGGAAAGGTTCAGAAGGAAGGCAGATGGGTTCCGCATGAATTGTCCGAAAACAACAAAAATCGTCGGCGTGACACTGCACTCACTTTGCTTTCAAAGTTCCGGAAAAAAGATTTTCTGCAAAATCATTACAGGCGATGAAAAGTGGATTCTTTATGATAATCCTAAACGTAAAAAATCATGGGTTGATCCTGGTCAACCTTCGACATCGACGCCAAAGCCCAATATCCACGCCAAGAAGGTTTTATTCTGTATCTGGTGGGATTGGAAAGGTGTGTTGTATTACGAGTTGTTACAACCGGGTGAAACAATCACGGCAGACCGCTACCAACAATTGACCAATTTGAGCGATATATTAGAAGAAAAGAGGCCATTTACTGGCCAAGGACGTCATAAAATGATCTTGCTTCGTGACAATGCTCGACCACATGTTGCGAAAGCGACTCAGGACCATATCTTTGCGTTAGGCTGGGAACTTCTCCCGCACGCGGCGTATAACCCAGACATGGCGCTTTCCGATTACTACCTATTCCAGTCGCTGCAGCATCATTTGGCTGATACACATTTCGTGAGATTTGAAGAGATACGAAAATGCATTGATGACTTTATCGCTTCGAAGCCGGTGAGCTTCTATCGTCAAGGAATTCGCAAGCTGCTCGAAAGATGGCAAAAGGTCATCGATGCAAATGGGGAATATTTCGCTGATTAATATTTTTTTGTTTGTTTTTTGAATAAAAAATTGAATTTTACAAAAAAAAGCTCAGAACTTTTTTGTACACCTAATATATTAAATATATTAGAACGTCACGTATTTTCGTCAATTACTTATTTTATCAAAATAAATCACAAGACTTTCCATTAAATATATGGAAGATTCACATCAGTGTTACATATTTCACATTAGTGTTACATACATATTCTTATTATGTTATATTAATCATATTTATTAATAATAAAGTCGTTATATATATAAAAAATATTAAAAATATGTACGCACACATATATATTTAAATTATTTTATTGCGTGCGCGCGCGCAATGAATAACAGTAAATTCCTCATGTGAATTTCAATTCGTAATTATCTAATTAATTTAACATTATATGTAATAAGATAATTACAGTAACAGTAGCAGACATGAAAAGATTTAATTGATTTAGTTATATCGACTTGTCGATATTTGTTTCGATTTTTTCATATTACGTTACTTGATTATATAATTTTTAGTTATTTCGCAAATTAATGTGTTTACAGATTTGTGGCAAAAATATAAAATGAAATTTTGAATGATTTATATCATCATGAAAGAATGTGGCAATAATTTCGCGTAATATAACGAAGTTCTTGCGGTCGCAGAAGAGGGTGACTGGAAAATTAAATTTTATCATAAGACGAGGATGCGCATAATAGTTTCTGATTTCTCGACTTGGCAACAGCTTAAACAATTCCTTCCTTTAGATAACTTTGTCCATGCGAAATATCAATATTGATATTACAATTCACATATTGTATTAATGCCGGATTTATTTTCGCGATTTATTGATATGAATTTTTAATATTTCTTCGAAATGTATTTATATTTCAGTGTTTTATAAAACATTGTTGTTTAAATTGACATGATGACATTTGATTGTTTTTTTTTTTAAATATGAACAAATTATGCTTTCATGATTTTGCAAGTTTGCTTAATATACTCGAAAATATTATACGGCCTAATATTGAAACATGTTAATAAACTCAGAGATCGGATAATCGAGCATATCATTCAAATAGATCAGACAAAAATTCTTGATTTTACATAATATGATACATAATATGAAAAAAAATTCGAAATAATAATCGACTAATAATAAGTTTAAAACTAATAGCAGAATTATTTCAAGAAATTGGAATACATCCAAAAATTAATAATAATAATAATAATAATAATAATAATAATAATAACCAAGAAAGTTTGATAGTGCAATGATAAAGAAGTGAAAGAATAACAGAATAATGTATTACTTTTATAAATATAAACAGATTTAATATTAAAACAAAATTATAATCTGGTATGGGGAAAGACAGGAGAACATTTATATGAAGAATTAAATCTTAAAAATTTTGATATAATTATGACTAATGAAAGGGAAATATTAAGAATTGAACAAGAAGCGTATCATTATTTGAATATTGCACATTAGAAAAGATTATTTAATACATCCAAAAGATCATACATCAGAATTTGAGAAATTACATCAATAAAGATTTTAAGACATGCACAATTAATTGCCTGTAAGATTTGGAGAAAAAGATTTAAAGTTGTTCAGTTGTATACTTATTAGCAGAGATTATATAGGAAAGATATCTATATTATTTATATTAACTTATTTATATTAATTGTATACAGCATCTGAATTAAACTATCTATGAAACGCAATTTTATTCTCAAAAGGGATTACGTAGACAAACAGATCACAGCAGGAGGTAGAATTCATATTACTCGATTTCGAATTCATATTACTCTATTATTACTCGAGAATTAAAATTTGTATTTTCTAATGAAAACTTTGTGATCCCGACCACTTACAAATTATCTTACAATCGCTGCAATGGTCGTGATGGCAATTTAAAAATCAATTTTTTGAAAGATGTTTGTGCAATTTTCGATATTTAATTAATTTATTGATATAATACAATCGTTAATTTTTTTATATCATATTTAAAATATGTAAATTAATTAATGTATTTAAATGACATTAAAACTCAATGTTTTGTTACGAGAATATCTCAAAATACGAATTACCGAAAAATACGAAGAAATTTATAAAAATGCTTTTGCATTTCATTCGTTGCTTTACATGTTACAGAGATATATTAAGTCCAGCCTGCGAGCGTCGGGGCGTTGATTTATCGCGTGTCGAAGTCCTGGACAGTTCTTCGACGCCGTTATCCTTATTGACGACGGACGCCTCCACTCTCGGTGGAAAGCATCTACGAGTAATTGGTAAGATTGCGTTATTTCATGTATACATTCGAATTTAAATAAATTTTATTTAAGGAATAATTTAAGATAAACGGCATATATATGGTAGATTGATTCTTTGATCTCGCTTTTATTTTCTTGATGTCGAACTTTGTTATTGATAACATAATTGATAAATGTCAAACGAAGAACAACAAATTTAATGGACCTTCAATAATTTTACAATAGCGAGCCTTCGCAATGATTACACGTCGTTTTCGAGAATAGTGATTCAATTCTCAGCCTTGCGAAAGAATGATCTGAAATTGAAAAACAACGTGTTCCCAAATGATACCGAACGAATAACAATTATTATTAGGAATTGTTCAACATTAATTTTCACACGTATCTGTTTGAAAGAGATTACTTGATTTCCACTATTATAATCAATTAATTATTAATGATGTGTCGGAACGCTCTGGCTCATTTGCGGCTAGTATCGAACACAATTAATTATTCTATGCGAGATGGTCTGGTTAATTCTCGAGGTTGATTAATCTGCAACCGCATAGACACAACCCGGACGAAATAGTGACATAAATCACAAATCGTGGATCATATACATCGAAGAAAATCTGTTTTCGAGTATAAAGACAGCTGTCGTAAATCAAGTCTGTGTTAAATAACGGAGACTGTGATATTTATATCACAAAACGAATCTTAAATTTTAATTTTTTAAAGACCTCTTTCTTTGGTAGTATTTTAAGAAAATACTTAGTTTCCTTTAAGATTTTGTCGGATTTTTCTTCCTCGCGTTTTTTTTTAATTCTCTTCTTTTCAGTGGATTAAACTTTTCGAATATTGTTTTATTATTTAGAATATTGTTTTAGGATATTCTTCTTTGCGATATATCAAAATTCCATGTATTCTTTGTGCATATTTAAATGCTAAAATGCAGCATAATATTATTCGGTTAGGCTTATCTAATTGTATAATCGAGTTAGGTTAAAATAAATAAATTAATAAAGTTAATCGATTAAATGTGCGAAATAATTCAGCACTTTATTCTCTATGTTTGTTAAGTTTGTTAATCATCGCGGATCACGCATAGACCATTGCTCGCTTCCCCTGATTGATAATTGTCTTCCGGCGACTTGAAGCAGTGAAGTTATCCGGCAATAATAGGCGAAAACTTCACAAAATTAATTCATTAATAGATAGTAAAGAACGGACAAGTAGACAATTAGATTCATCTTCTTTCCAATCTAAAACGGATAATGAAAGCCTGAGGACAGAGACACTGACAACAAGATTTTTTTCTTATATATATTTTCTTAAATACGATGTATATTTTTGTTTATTCTTACAAAAATTGTATGATTGTTTTGCATTATCGCTAGTAATTAAATTCTATTCCATACAGAACACGTTAACTATAACTTATAATTCTATTATAATTTAATTGTCATCTTTGTTAAATGCGTTTGATCATTTAATAGCGTACATTAACTTCTTTTTTACTCCCTTTATGTACCACACATTAGATGTGCTGCTTTAAAGAGGAATAGAAGGCAAAAGATAGAAGAGATGTGACTACACTTCATTGGGAATTTAAACATTTATATTTATTCGAGCATACTTGTGGAGAAACTGAGAGTATAAAGTCAGCTGCTTCATGCCGACTTGACATTTTGGCTCTTATCCCTTTATGTTTTTAAGATATTTGATGTGCAATGCAATTGTATATGTGCATACGCGCAACAATGCATCTTAATACAATAATTTATCGAGGCAATAAATCTGTCATTGTATTTTTCAAACAATATGAAATGTTTATACTGAAAAAGAGAGAAAGAGCAACAAAATTTTCACACATCCTATGAATAAGCCTCTGCATAATCCTATGAAAAAGACCCCAAGAAGGGTAGAATGGCAATAGTAGGACTAAATGCGACTTGATACTTTCACAGAAAATTTTCTCAGTTATTTAAGCCGCTCTCAGTCGCTATTTCGTTTTCATCGTAATTTCCCTGGTGAATTTGATCCTGAGAGAGGTGTGCGCGCGCGCGCGTTCACACACACACACACACACACACACACACACACACACACACTACGTACG